CACACACACACACACACACACACACACACACACACACGCACGCGCGTACGCACGCATTTAAGTTCGTTTCCGATCAACTCCGATGTAAGGTTTGTCTCTCAGACTTATCCCCCGAAAATAACACATGGGGATCACAGTAGTGAACATGCTTSAGTACAWGTACAACGACTATGACCAGGCGCTCGCTYGCAGTGCGRCGTAGACGGGGTGAAATTCCATTCCAGTCTCCGCTCGTCGCCACGTCATGCTTTCCTTTGCCTATTTTTCTTCTCCCGTCTTCAGATTTTTCCAAAAAAAGATCAGACACGTCACATAGTTTTCGCCATGTTATGAGGATCATGATTTTGATGACCATGATTATGATGACGATTGCGTCCGAGCAGCCGCCGTTGTTCCCAAACGCGATAGATATACCAACCGGACGACATCTGGGCTAGCATCCTCAGACTCGACCACCAGAAGCACGTATCATCCCGGGAGGAACTCTTCTTCTCATCGGATTGCCCAGTACCATCCACCTCCCTCTGCTCACCTTCCCCTGATTGTCCGCCCGCCATCTTCGACGATTGATCCTGTTTCCCACTTTCATCTTCTTCCCATCCATGCCTCCACGCAATCCAACCCGCGATGATCACTGAAAAGAAAACCAATACAAATCGCAATGGGCAAACCATCTCTCTCTCTCTCTCTCTCTCTCTCTCTCTCTCTCTCTCTCTCTCACACACACACACACACACACACACTCGCGCTTTCTCGCTATCTTGGAAACAACCGTGCAACGCTCAGAAGTTAGGTCCGCGGACGACTCAGCGCGGATACGAATCCCAACCACACCATTTGCACATGATCGGGATCCTCATCTTCCTCGTCGTCGCTCCCTGCAACAGGTAGCGCTCCCACCATATCTATTCCTCCTCCACTCCCTTCAACTCGGTTGCCTTTCCATTTCCTTTTCCTACTGGGTCCCCGTACGATTSCCGCACAATTTTCATCGTCGTCACCGTTCTCCTCGTCCCCCGCCACTTCCGATGTTTCCCTCTCTTTCTAAAAAAATGCTTTTCGTTTCCGATTCGTAGACACGAATTCACATCGGCAATTCACATCCGCCGATTCCATCCATGGCGCCGTTTCCCGTTTCTGTTCCATTCCCCTTCCATTCCCATGCCCGCCACCAGTCCATCCCGGTTCATACTGTAAATTGTGCGTACGTCCTTCCGAGGTCCTCTCCTCGGGTAGACSCTCTGCACTGTCTGCRGCTGCTAATGGGACTGCGTGCCGGCTCCRTGGGACTGCGTGACGGCTCCATATGTATCCTTTGGACTCGGCTTGTCGATTATCGTCCTGCTGTAGAGACAGCGTCTATAYCACTACATGTAGCACCTCACTGGCGCCAAGTCTGTGCTGAGTATACTACCGTCGTCCCCCGAACATAACGTGTATGTACTATGTATGCRTTKTAGAMGAATACAACGCGTAGGCTGCCTTACATTCGAATACAACGCGTAGGTTACCTTATATTCGATTACACCGCATTTGCGTTATGTTCGGGGGAAGACGGCATCTGTATGCGTTATGCTCGTTGCACACACCTAAAGAACCSGTGGAAARGGGTTTCAGCGAGGTTCAGTTCAGCGTCATTGACTGCGTCCTGTGAAAACACCTTTAGAACGCGCCCTGTGAAAACACCTCTGGAAACAGTAGGATGACACAGCTATTCGTCGTAAAGATTGTCTGCAGCCTATCTTATTATGTCCTAGAGATTGA